CCCCCCCCCCCCCCCCCCCCTGTGGTGTGGTGTGGTTCGGGGTTTGGGTCTGCTCTCAGTCCCTCCGCCCCCGATGGTGTAGTGCGGTTCGCGGTTCGGTTCGCCCTGGGTGTTTCGAAATCGTCGTCGTCATCATCAAGATATTCCTTTCCCACAAGAAGCGGGCCTGACATCCTGGTGACAGTTGCATTTTCAATACCCTCATGGCAGAGTCCTGGTATGTCCTGGTTTAAGGATCGGGTTTGTTTGGACGAGATCCTCGTGCTCGTGACAGTCGATGGCTTTGGAGCCGCCATGTGGGAGAAGCACGCACAGTCACAGGGATTCGGCATATTTGGACCTGGGCGTGCCGGGGGTGGGATACTATGGGAGGGGTCGGCGAACGCGAACCGAGAACCGGGATCATATCTTAAACGCGCCTCACATTTGGTTCACTGGCTCACCATATATCTTAAACACGCCGCCTCATGTGGCGACTATATATCTTAAACACGCCCCCTCATGTAGCGATTCCGGTTCACCATACATCTTAAACATGCCCCCTCATTTGGCAATTCCGGCTCATCATGTAGCTCAAACATTGGCGGACTGACTGACCCACTGTCCGACTGAGATTGCTGGCGCTCGGCGCATGGACCAACCGACCGACCGTCCGACTGACTGATAGACCGGCGTGCTCGCGCACCGACCGACGGACCAACTGACTGACTGACTGACTGACTGACTGACTGACTGACTGACTGACTGACTGACTGACTGACTGACTGACTGACTGACTGACTGACTGACTGAGCGCTTGAAGCCATTCAGGCGCAAACCAAAAAGAACTATCAAAAAAAACAAGAAATACCCAAAAAGAACCCCCACCCGGCTTGGGGGAGCGTTCGGAGGCAGGCGGCAAGCCTTTGCCACGCATACGTGCGAATCAGCGCAAGCCGGTTCCGGAGGTTGGTTGCTGTTGCAATGATTTCGCCCAACGGCCCCCCCCGGTGAGGCCAAAGGGATGGCTTGAGGTCGGCGGTTGAAGATGCGTGGGTTTGGTGCCACTGGACAGTTGGGAGAAGGCGACTTCGTCAAAGCGAACCTGAGGATACGCGAGCCTCCGACAGCACGGGTAAACCGACATGTTCTTCTTTGACTTCTTCAGTGAAGAGACACATGCTTGTTCTCATTCACCTACGAAGATCGTTGGCTTACGAGAAACCCCTTCAGGTACCTTCGAAGACTCAAGACAGATCCCAAACACGGATTGGTGCCTTCGCTGCCGTCCTGTCGTTCGACGGGGGCTGGCGAAGCCTGTGAGACACCGAACACCCATGCCTAGGCTCATGCTTGCTGGCCAGATTAGGTGATCCTCTGAGGACCTTACATGCCCAGATCCTGGTGTAGCATCGCTTCGACAAGGCGTCGACTCCGACTGCAAGCCCGGGCAAATCATGGTAACTCCGCAAATTTCCGCAAACTAGACTTCAGCTGTCTTGTCACAGCGGTACTCGATGGATCGGAAATGGATGACAGTCCCAGCGCCAACTGCTGCGCTGCCTCTTTTATGTCGGTAGTGTCTGCTGAATCGCCAGACCTCTGGAAGAGCTTAAGGAGTGCCAGAAACCCATCGGCCGGCCGGCAGTAAGGCCTCGACCCTCCAGGCATCCGGAGCATGGGCACTGGCGCCTGACACATCGCTGGAAACAGAAGGTTTCCTTTCCCTGAATGAATTTGAAGATTGCGTGCGCCCCAACCTGGCGGCTCTTAAGCAATCCCACAGGCTCTCCTTGGTCGGAGTGATCGAACCACCAGAGCCTGTCCTGGAGCCTAACATAGCTCCAAGTAAGAATCTGAGGGCCCATCGCCTCGCCAAGCCTGCAGACTCATGCTTGGAGTGGATTGGAGCACGACAGCTTGACGGAACAGTACCACGGGCATCTCTCCAATACAACTACAGCCGCTCGAGACTGTGAAGTCTTCACCTTGCTCTGTTAAAGGTTTCACCATAGTCGTGGAGTCAAAACAACAGTCAGAACAATAATGAAGCTAAATATGCCATCCCCTGATTCCTGGCTGGCCCTGGGCCCTGGCTCATGTATATAATTTGAGACGGTGTGCATTCTCAACAGCACCACACACTGCAAAAGTGTACACCACACCTCAAACGTCAACGACGACTTGCGGCCGCTGCTGCCCCCCACCGGCCTCTTTCGCTAGCTTCTGCCCAGAACTTCTCACCACCTTTGCGAGACAAGTCTTGTCAGACGTGGACCTGGACACCAAGTCCGGGAAGCCCAACGGCTCGGAAAGATGACATCTCACGAGATCAAGAGCTCCCGTGCATCTCCGAAAAATCGATTCTTTACACTCTGGGGACCGGACATGCCTTGCTGGGCTCTGTTTGGATGCCTCGGGCCCAGTACTAGGCAAGCCCCTCCAGCTCACTCTCAACAAGCTTCATCGAAACACAACAGCATGCATTTACTGCACTGCTGCAGCAGAACATGCACAAAGCCAGCGGCAACTAGAGTGCGCACCAGTCTCTGTCGTCCTTGGTTGTCTGGTACGCTCGGGGAGAGTGATGGTGATGAACTGCACGGTGCGGTCCTGAGAATGAGCCAAGGAAAAGCAATCTTGTTGCGTCCCAAGCAAGAAACCAGCCCAATCTATCTGTCACAGTCATAAGGTCAGCGCCCAGGTCCAAACGACTCTCTCGCCCGCCTGCTGATTCAGCTCATCCTTCCCTCATAACTCGCCTTCTCTTTGGGAAAACGGCCGTCAGGTGTTCGGCATCACTGTTCTGGTATTAGGAGCTGAAATGTAGAAATACTGACTGACTAGCTTTGCCTCAAGGAAAATGCCATCACCTTCACGGAGCATGATGTTCTCGTCACCCTTCTCCAACCTCAAAGCACAGCTGGGACATAATTTGAAACGAGCGCTTCAGGCATGTTCGCAGAATCTCAGTACGAGGTGCATATGCTACAGGTTCCTGAACAAGCATAGGCACTGAAATTCCCCCGTCAAGACGACCAAGTATTCATCGCAGTCCACCATCTGCTGCTCCTTCAACGAAACTTTTCAAGCAGTCAGGCCAGACTGGCACTCACTAAAGCTTGAAGTTCATCGGCACTTGTCCAAAAGTCAGTCAGCACAGCGCAGGGGACAAGCCCTCAGGATGCTCTTAGACTGCCATACGGACAGCCTTGCCAGTCTAAACTCTCGGGTCGTGCCCAGTTGCACACAAGCATATAGCATCCTTGTTCCGCACGGCAGAAAGGGGATGTAAAGAAACGTGTAGTGTCGGGTCAGGCTTCCCAAGCCGAGGACATCGCACTTCACCCCACATCATTCTACATCCAACAGCTCATGGCCTTGTACAGTGAAACCTTCCGGGCTGCACGTGATATCGTGCCTTGCCGGATGGGCGAGATCGAGCAACTCGAAGGCCCCTGTGTAGAGCGCACAAGCACAACCAGGCAGCAGTTCGGCTCTGGCATCCAAGCCCAAAAATCCCAGCCTGGAAGAGCTCTCTTCCTGGTTGGCTTGGGACTGCGTGATGCCAAGGAACTCTGCAAATGACAGCCTCACAAATACCAATGAAGATGCAGTACCAAGCGGAGCATGCTTGCCGAGTTGAAGTGAGATCTACTGACATGCAGCATGCAGCACACAGGGAATGAGCTCTTTGCGAAGCCGTTGAAACAGCATCGGTTGCCTGTACAGGTATGCTGTGCTAAGGCTGAAGCCCTTTGCATAGCGATTTGCAGGTGTACCGTGTGCAAGCTTACCAGTGCCGGCCGTCCTTCCTGCGGCGATGCGGAGCTTCAACTTTATCTCGCTCCTGACGAGTCCGAGACTCATCCGAGGTAGCCCTCACAATCCCATCACTTGGCGGCTCCTTCTGGTCCACTCGCGCCTTGATGCTGTCCACCCGGGAACTCATGTCTGCCACCAACGACCTGCGCCCCCGCTGTATGGCGAAAAAGATACTCCCAACTTGCGAAAATCGATCGGCAGCTTGCTTCATGCACGAACAGTGTGCGCCTGAGGCTTTCTTGTGCCGGCGCGGTCATCGCAACCTGCATCGCAATAGTGTGAAGCACGGGCAGGCTTCTGCAACTGTCATGTTCATCTGCGCTCCATTTCCGCTGCCTGCTTAACATCCTCGGCCATGTCCAAGTCATCGTAGTCAAACATGGCCTGTGATGGGGGGAAGGCTTGCTCCGCCTTCTAGATTAGGGCTAGACTCCGACGGGACGACTGAAGCTACAGCTTCATTGCCCAGCTGTAGCTCGTAGCTGATGGCATGTGGTTCGGTCGGACTAGTCCGTTTCCCTAAGTGTGAAGGTCGTCTAATTCGGGCGGTAAAGCGCAGCCGCGCAGATGGACAGAATCTTTTGGAACCGATGCCGAGAATCCGGAGTCTGTGAAACGGATTGGTGAAAATCTGTAAGGACTGCGAGCTACGGACAACGGATCTACCTAGTGAGCTGGGTCGGAAATCTTGCTTTGGTAGGCACCGTAAGCTCCGGTAGGCGGAGAGAGGGGACGGCGGCGGGATACCGAAAATGCAACCGACCGCTGCGAGCCAACGGCTGGAGGTTGCGTCCGAAAAGTTGCCCATGAGGGCGATTGAGCCTGAAGTCGCGGAGGCGGAGATAGCATTCAGACACGAGTCACACGGTCACGCCTTCATGTCGGGGCTTGGGTGAGTAGGCTCTGTCGCGCAACCGTCAATCTCACCCTTCAGATTCTGCATGTGGCTTCCTAGACATGTCTCGCGTTGACTGCATTCCTCTGGTAGGACACATGTAAGCTCTCCTCTTTCTCTCGTGGCACGAAACGAGTTCAGACCCCTGTTTCATGTACACGGAAGGGGGTCCGTCGCCAAGGCCATACTGTTCTCGGGCTTCCGCAAGCACTGGAAACTTGACTCCTTTCCACTGGACCAACGGAATTACCCGATGGTCACTGGGCAGGTTGATCGACGCCGATGTTCTCCAGCCGCACTTCATTGGTAAACAGATCCATGTCCCAAGGAAAACAAGGGAGGGACTTCACCATCAATCACCAGGAACTGGATGACGCCGAAGACTTCTCCGGGTGATACCGGTACCAAAGCTGTCTTCGTCACCGCGGGGCCCAGCCTCCAATTTTCGTGGGAGCTGATGCCGTAGTCGGAATCTCGAGGGCCCGCAACCCACATTTATCCAGCTCGTGTTCCAGGGCTCCGAAGGCAGTCTTGCCCCAATATGAGGAAACTCTGGTTCGGGTCCGGCGTGACTTGAAGTGTGTCTCGCCTGGCAGCTGGAAACACCTTTGCGAGAGCCTCCCAAGTCGCAAAAGCCATTGATCTTCTGCTTGGCTACTTCCGCGCGGGCCCTCGCACCCCCTTGTCCCTGACGACAATCCTCCACCCCATGGCCTTGTCGTCCACAAACGTTGCAACGAGACCTGCGACCTCCGCCAGATTCTGCACGGCCGTCTCCTGGAGCTCCCTTCGTGAAGCTCTGACGGTCCGCTATGAGTTCGGCCTTGAACCTCTTGTTCTCCTTCCATGCGCAGCGTGGTCTCCTTGATGGCGAACACCAAGGGATGCCTGCTTCCGAGTGAAGTTCCTATCGGACAGCTCGTCCAAAATCTCTTGGTCGTTCATAAACTCGGACCTAATGGTACACGCCCTCATCCTGGTCCTCAAGACCGTCGTCCTCATCCTCCAGCAAATAGACCTCGCCCTCATCGGGAACCTCTGGGCTGTGCGTGAAGCCCGACAGCTGGTCCTGGCGCCCATCCATTCTCGCCAGGGTGTGGGCCATCAGCTCGACGTCCAAATCTTTCCCTTGAAGCAAATGACAGCCCAGCGTCTTCTCTCAGGAGAGCTGTCTTGAACTCGTTCGGAAGCTGGATGCCGCAGCAGGTCGCCTTGGTGAAGCGTTGAAGCCTTCGGTTGGCATACTGTTGAAGCGTCTCCTCCTTCCGACGAGCGTTGTCGCGCAGGACTCCTCGGAAGGCAGCCGGCGATCATCGTCTTCTCGGGCTCCTGCTTTCATCTCGATGATGCGGAGGATGTGAGCAGTGGGAAGCTGCTTCTCCTTCTGAAAATCTTTTCCGGATGTCTCCATGTATCCGGACGTCTCCCATGTATCCCGTAGTTTTCGTTGGCCAAATGCTGCTCTTGGCGGTGTTGTCATTCATGCAAGTCTCCGGGTGACTTGCGTGTGTGTGTGTGTGTTCTCGGCTTTCAAGATACACACCTTCAGCTCAGATGACAAAGATTCTCCCTTTCCCTTCGGGTACCACAGCAAGTTCCCACGACTTTGGCGCGACTTGTCTTCAACGCAAGACAGCAACAACCAAGTGTTTGCTGGCGCGCCCCAGCACCGCAGTTTCATGTCCAGGGCTACCCGTGCCATGGAAAAAGAAGTTGAAACTACCCTTTCCCTTCGCCCGGCCTGCAACTTCCGAAATACTTTGCCTTGCCTTAGACCTTCCTCGGACATGTTTGCGGGCGCGACAAGTTCGACTGAGATGATTTACATCTGAAAGGTCACCGTTCCCAGGTGTGGTGAGTCGGCGAATTCGGGGCAGTGAAACATGTTTCTTCCGCGAGCCTGGATGTTACAAAATCCATCTTTACTTAGTTTGGATCAGAGAAATGGCCAAACAAACTTGAAGCTTATCGGTGGACCCCATCGACTCAAATCTACCCCCTCCAGCACGCCTCAAACAGATCCATCTTTCACGTCCACCGACAGCTCAAGAACTGACTTGCCAGTAAGCCGTTCATTCGACCACGAACCATTGCGCATATTTCCAACCCGGCCTCAAGTTGCTGGCTCACTCGGCCTCTGTACCCTGCAGACTGCTGGTGGGAAGCAGCAGCTCTAGGTTCACATCTCAATCGCCGGAGTACAGACCAACTGCAGCCTCTCCCCGCCTGCACTTAACTTCGCCGAGGCCCTTTCCAAAAGGTTGTAAAATTCGGGAAACCCTGACACAACTGGACTCGGGAGCCGAAAAAGCCAATTCGCAGAATTCGGAACGAGATGGCGACATTTCAGAAACCAGGGCACAGGGTTCGGGGTCATTTTTTTCTTCGAACGCGAGAGGCTCACTGGTTTGAGCCCATCAGCACCGACCTATCCTACTTCAATTGCTGGTGGCTTAAATTATCGTTCCCTGTCCCTTCTGGGCTTGTGCACAACTGTTTGCCAATACTTGCGATCTTGGCATTTGGGAGGGACGTGGCGAAACAAGGCGGTATTGTCTATCCACACAACTCCTGATGCCCGGTGGGCATGGCGTACTTGCTGGAAGGAGGGGACTTCAAAGAAGTCGTGATGTATGTGATCGTGAGGAGGTGCCTGGTCTGACATTAAATGATCTATGCGGCGGGCTGCTTGTGCCATGCAAGATTCTGCCCAGTGTATTTTTGGGCGGCCTGGGCGGTTGGGTGCCCGGATATGGCGATAAGCGTGGGAGCTCATATACGTACATTTATTCTCTATAGACTCCGACTGTCTATGAATATGTCCAAATAACTGAAGGCGCTGACTTGAGATGGAGATTGTACACGCCGACCGGCATAGGCGAAGGAGGCTAAGTACTGATTCGAGCATTGGGTGTGTGTGGGATCTAATACTCTGTGGTAGAAGGATGACTTGATTTTAAAAATGCGTCTCAGGGATTTATAATGAATGGTGTCAAGTTTGCGAATTTGGGGAGATGTCAGCAAGACGCTATCCATTGCATACATCAAAATGGTAAGGACAATGGATCTATATACCGTAAGTTTCCAAGAGGGCGGGAGAGATGCATGAGATAGTAGCGGGCGAAGCAATTTTGAGGCAGTGACTGCCTGGGAGACGCGGTATGAAGTATTTTTGCGATTGCTATTCGTGGGATCCAAGTATACACCTAGGTATTTAACTTCGTCTGAAAGAGGAACAGGAGTGAGTGGATGATGTATGCCTCCACAATAACTGCACTCACAGAGCTCATTGCTTTGCGGAGCATAAAAGATGCGCTGAGTAGAGTGAAGGCACAAGCGCTCACACTTGTCCTCATTCAACATAAGACCACGCCTACTACCTTGATATTGCACTGCGTGAAGAAGGCGGTTCATTTGCTCTGCCGAGCAGGAGAGGAGAAGGAATATGAAATACTCCTGAGCTTTCTCCAAATTTCGATTGGTAATCCTGTTCAACGTCATGAAAGAGATGGGTTAGGACAAAGCCAAATAAATAAGGAGAAGGAGGGCATCCTTGGCGCAAGCCTTTAGTTTGCGTTTGCATGGCAGACTTTTGGGAGGAGTCTCGTACTGCAAACGTGGGATTAGCGTACAGAGCCATTACTACTTTACGTGTGGGGGGGGGGGGGGGAACGCCCAT